TTGCAAAAGATCTAGTCTCCCCTGCTGTAGAGTTTGCTGAAATTGACTCTACGCCCGGTTCTGGTTTCCATGCAGCCTATAACAATCTTGTACCTTATGGTTTGTTTTTTGGCAATGTAGGCGTACCCCCTTTTTTAGCCTACCCCGCCAGTCATTTTCAGTAATCCGGAGGTCGACCCAAGGTTTAGTAGTCGCATCCTCCGGTTTAGGTGGGATCTTGACTCCCTTGGGAAGTTGGACATAGTTCTTCCTTGCACTCCGATTCGGCCCCTTTGTATTGGCAGTCTTTTTTAAGGCAGTAAATTTTTCTTCTTCGTGGTTTCATGGGCCGAAGAACAAGCTGTATCAGGGTCTTGTTCTTGGTCGTCACCAAGAGTGGGGTCCTCTGCATCGGCTTCTTCTTCAACCTCCAGCAGGTCATGCACAACAAAACGGTTCCTGCCTTTGAACCGCCTGCCGCCTATGGGCTTTTTGCTGCCTGCTGTTGTGACGAGGTCTACAACCTCAAGACTGACTATGTCCTTCATTAAGGTGAACTAGTCAGTGTAACCAATGAAGTCCCTGCCTAGGCGATTAGTAAAGTTGGTGGGAACCGCGCCGTTGACCAAATCCAAGCAAGATTGAGCAGTCAATTCCAATCCGGGTGTAGCGAACATCTTGCTAAGGTAAGTTGCAGGCTTTTCATGGAGCCCGTCCACTTGCTGCGCCCTCGCTGCAGCATGTGGATCCAAGTGTTGCGAAATGAGGAGTTCCTCGAGGGAGGCAACCGGGGTGATCTTAAGCCACCTTGTTAGTTCTATTTTGGGAATCCCAGCTCGCATAGCTTGGACCTCTAAGAAGCCCTGCACGACCGGCTCAACATTCATTCCCATGATCACGGACTGGGTCTCAGGTTGAGTCCCCAGAACCTCGAAGTATGCACTCATGGAGCTGATCCAGGATTCAATGTCTTCTTTGCCGTCGTACTTAGACGGTATTTGAACCGCCTTTCGGTCCACATAGGGACCGGCGTAGCTGGGACCAGCACCCGCTGGTTCCAATATTGGGGCTGCAACAGTTGCAAAATTTCCAGCCTCGTTGCTTATCACAGCAACAACGGAATTTGTACCTGTTGCAGGTCCCGAGGGGGTTGCCATCACATTCAAGGACGAAGATACAGTAAGAGAGGCAAAGGTAGTTTCAATTGCAGCTTCAGATCCAGGGGGTAGAGGAAGAGGGTTGGCCACTTGGGCTTGTCGCAGCTTAGCCACCTCCTTTGTCAATTCAGTCAGATCAGTCAGATCATCTTGAAGTGTTCGCAACTTTGCGAAGACTTCAGCGATCTGAGTGGTATGATCTTCAAGATTCCTGACTTGAACAAGAGCGGTGAGTATAGACTGCAACTGTTCCTCACACTGCTCTTCAGTCAGTGAGGGCACAGTCTCTAGGATGTCCACTCGCCTTTTCAGCAATGACTCCTTCCTCTCCTTCTCTGCCTCCTGTTCCCGTTTGGTTGCACTATCTAGGAGTGCTTGTGGATACAATTTTTCCCCATCATTGGCTGTAGCTAACAAGGCCTGCCATTGCACTGAAGTTAGCTGAGCCATTTTTGGACCATTAGTATTGACAGGTGGGTCAGAGAGTCGCCAATCAGCAAAAGAATCAATTAGACTCTCAAGAGGTTCACTCCCCTTCTCACTTGGACGAACACTCCTTTTCCCAGTCCTTGCCACTCCAGACGGTCACTTTCCCTCTCTCCCTTCTCTCTTTTTCTCCTCTCTCTCTCTTCTTTCCGGCGGCGGGTCTCCACGGGCATCGGAAATGAACTCAGAAAAACAGACTTGAAAGCTCAGAGAAGAGAAGGTAGAACTCCTAGCCGGAGCGGCATTTCATTCGGACGTAGAGAGCAGCAAACCAAGGAAAAACAAACAAGTCCAAACGAGAGGTCTGATCCAGCGACCCGGTCTGATCAGACTGCATATGAGGTCCTCTCGAGTCCAGTCTGACCAGCTCCGTGACCGTACAACAAATTAGACAACGAGTGACTAAATGCCACAATGGAGAATTGAGTGGTGTACAGGTGCGAGTCAAGCCACAGACAGTGCAACCAAAAGACATGCGAAACGTCTCAGCCGAGATCCCCTTGGCAGTGGGTGTCCTAACCAAGAAGAAAGAACTCTGTAACACAGTCATAAGACAATGGGCTAATGCCTAACCGATTTGGGCCCAAAATGACTCTTCTTGTTTGGGCCTGGTCCCACTGGGTTCCAGAGGTCCCACGTAGGTCGCGGCCAGGTCACAACCAAGAGAAGTCCCTCTTGGACTTAGTTTAGTTTCTAATGTACTGAAAAACGAAATTTCAACTTCCGGCAGAACCTACAGACTACAACCCTTCAGAGATGAAAAGACAAAGCACTGTAGAAAGACTCGACATTTAGATCAAGATACTTCATTTTCCATCCATCAGGTGAGTAGGTAGATCACATGCATTCAGTCACACAATCAAGACCACAGAGGAGTAGGAAAAGAAACCCAGAGTACCCCAGCAGGACAATCAATACCATGCACACATTCATGTGCATCCCGTAGGTGCACGACACTTACTTGAGTGGCCTTGAGCTTCGAGATGAATAGGACTCAACCCCCTCTCATGTGATCCTCCTGACCCCTCTAACGGTACCCCTACACTAGTGTCCTATCTCCTAGGAGTGTCTGACTCCAACACCCAAGTGCAACGCCGGATCCCCCGTCGATGCTGAAGAACAAAGTAGCAACTTGTCGTCCGTAGATGCTGAGTGGCCGCTGACCCTCAAGCTCGCCTACTTGAGGGCAGCCCTTAAGTTGCCAAGTGTCTCCCTTGAATCAGATTCCAGGTGTGAGTGCCTCTCACTGTCGCCTCTCTCAAATCGCCGCATGAAGTCTCCTCGAAATGTCTCGCGACCCTAATCTCACTCTCAAGCAACCTGGTTAGGTTCTATGTCGACCCCACATGACCTAACCAGGTGGGAAGCAACTGGTACCTCCTCCCTTTTCGGAGGGAAACATCATTGCAGACTCTGATATTGCCCGTACAGGCCCTAGACCCAGACTGGTTGGACTGGTATCCACCTAGACCTAACCTACAACTACTGGGCCTCTAAAAATGCCACTTTTGTCTTCTTCTGCTCGGCCTCCAGTACCCGCACATCTACCCCTTCAGGGTGCGGTACTGGCCTACCCGCTACTTGAGTGTTCTCCCTGCTGCAATCCCTCAATGTCACGGCCACAGGTAAGTACCGGCCCTGAGGGCCCAATGAACGAGCAAGTGCCCTTGCGGGCCACACACACACTCAAGCCGACCAGAACTCAGACAGGCACGGCCACACACACTCTCAAGCCAACCAGCACTCAGACAGGCATGCAGTCCAGCAAGCGTGCACACACAGACTTAGTAGCAAGTGGGAAATTCAGCAGGGCATTCAGTCTATGGGCAAAACTCAGAAATCAGCTGTGTGTTTCAGTCCATGTTTGGACGGGTTATCACACACTGCTGATGTTGCACTCTTGTTGAAGGCCTTGCTGGCCATTGATGCTGAAGTGGCATACTCCGTGGAGGTGCTGCATTAAGCAGACTAGGGGTGACACGTGGCAGGAGGTGTGCGCTGCCGTTGGTGAGGGATACTCAAGTAGCGGGGGGTAGGCCCGTGACACTTAGAGCAGTGGGAAAAACACTCAAGTAGCAGGTAGGCCGGTACCACTCAAGTAGTGGTAGAAGTGTCGGGTGCTCGAGGCCGAGCAGAAGAAGACAAAAAGTTGGCCTTTTTAGAGGCCCAGTAGCGGTAGGCTAGAGGTAGGCTGGTATCAGTCCAAGTAGCCTGAGTCTAGGGCCTGTACGGACAATATCAGAGCCTGCAATGATGTTTCCCTCCGAAAGGGAGGAGGTACCGGTTGCTTGGAGGCCGCACGACCTGGAAGTCACTGCCCAAGAGGCAAGTAGGCCGCTATATCTCCAGGAGGAGCGAGTAGATGCTCCTCATTTGTGGTATGCAAGTTTGGACGTCGTGCTGCTTGAGCAAGCACCAGCCTTCAGAGCGCTGGAGGAGCGCTGGGCAGAGCAGTGCTAGGAGGAAGAAGGAGGCCGGGAGCTCCCACCGCGGCTATGGTGGAGCTCTACCGGTAGGAAGAGGAGGAAGGAGAGGGAGACTAGGAGGGAGAGAGGCAAGGTGCCTACGTGGCTATGGTGGCCACCATCTTCATCACCTTGTTAGGCGCTGCATCAGGAAGGCCCCAGATGGGGTTGCACCGCACCAAGAAGCTCCGAGGCAGAGTCAGGCATGGCGAGCTGAGTAGCAGCGAGCATAGCTGCTTTGTGTCATCCTTTGCACAGCAGGGCAAGGCCCTGCTAGTCCGCCATCGCCTCGGCCTTGAGAAGGAACACGAGCCTGCAGTAGAAGAGGGATTAGGACATTGATTCTGGTTCAGCCATTCAAAATTATTATTATTATTTATTGTTTGAATAAGAGGGGTGGAGAAAAGGAGGAGGAGAGTGGTTGGTGAAGAAGAAGGGAATTATCATTGGTCTTTGGTGGTGTACATCTTCTTTTTCTTCTTTCTTCCATCTTCTTCTTCTTCTTCTTTCCCTCTCTCTCCTCTCAAGTTCATTCATTTCGTTTTGCAATTGGATGGCATTGTACTTTCTCATGAATGTGTATTTCGAAATTGACCAGGATCGTAATAGCTGCCTTCTTCTTTGTTAATTGCCCCATATATCAGATATGATAGGTGAACCAAAAACCTTTCCAAACGGCATGGACCTGGCATGCATGTGAGGAAGTTCTTTTTCTTGGCTAGCTTCTTTTTCCGAATACAATGTGCGGTCATTATAGCTGTATTTGAGGCATCTTTCAGTCTAGATACAACTATAATGACCGTACGTTGTATTCGGGGGAGGAAGGTAGTCATATATAGAGGGAGCACGAACCTGTATCATGCACGTACAGGTAAGGTCCAACAGAATGAGCTGTGATGTCTGAGCTGTGTACCTGTTCATGAGAGAGTGCAGTATCCCATTTCTTTATCTGGGCTTCTTCATCCATGTCTAACCATGACCGTATGTTATCCCCCGTAATTGTCGTCGCCTTTCCATCTTCAATTTTTTCGTTTTCCAGAATTCCAACCTGGAGTAAGAACCCATTCAATCATGAAAATTTACCGGCAAGGGTCAGAATCAGCCAGTTGAGACTCCTCATAAAGTGACCCTTAAGAAGTAGACACAGTGACCCTTAAGAAGTAGACATAGTGACCCTTAAGAAGTAGACATTGTTGCAGAAGCAGATTTACTGGACACATGTCAGAACAATTATTATTATTATTAACTTTTTTTTTGTTAAGACAAGCTCCGATCTATTCGTGAGGAGTAACAAGTGCTGAGAACAGGGCTCATTGCCCCTTATGAAAATGTATAGGAAAAACGTGAACATGAGATGAGATGAGTGCTCACCGGTGGTGGAAACCGGGTCCAGCGTCCCCTGTCCTATTCTGACTGAGCCTGTTCACAGGAGTCCGCCTCTCCATCCTTTTTACCGGATGCCAGATCCTAACCAAAAACTAGCAGATCCTGTTCTTTTCAACGGCTGGAACCAGATCCGGCGTCCCATCCCTCCTAAAACCAAGGTCAGACCCGGAGACTGGAGGCGCCCATCCCTCCTAAAACCAAGGCCAGACCCGGAGACTGGATGGGACCACTGGGGGACACCAGCGGGACCCTCCTTCACCCTGCCCGCCTCCAAAGCTTGTACCTTTCCTATCTTGCTGCAAAGATCACCATGAAGGATAATATAAGAACTTCTGAAAATATGTCACTGTTTGTACGCATAGCCCAACCACATACGTGTTGCTGTTATTTCTTTTTGGGGTTACAGCAGGCGTGGGGCTGACCTTTTCACGAGTTGTCTTTTTTCCTTTCTTAATGGAACAATGCTCCAATCTATTAGTGGGAAACAACATGTGCTGGGCACTGGGCCCAGCATCCCTTATGAAAAGTGTAGAACAATATAAGGCAATGGGGCCATTACCCGGCTTCAGCTGAGGAAAACTGGTGAAGTATAGAACCATCGAAGTTTCAAATCGAATCTACAGAGTACTCAGGAGGAAAATAAAAGCCTTGTACAGCCAACCTCTACACCCCCCTCTGGCAAGTCTTGCCCTTCCACTATCCTGAGAGCTCACTATAGTCCCGGGCCATATCATGTAACCCACTCGCCCTTCCCTAGATC